ATCCTCCCTGGTAAGCCACCTCGTGGGCTACACAGAATATTAGAAATGGGTTAGAACAATATGTAAGAGCTAGCCAATAAGAGGCTACAGATAATGGGCCAGGCAGTGTTTAAAAAAATACAGTTTCCGTGTAATTTTTTCGGGGCATAAGCTAGCCATGTGGGCTGTCAGGTGCCGGGAACGCAGCCCCGCCACTCCTAATTCAACAGTTGTTTCATTGGTTAAGTAATAAATAAACTGCTTAGTCTCTGATAGGACAGAAAATTAGGTAGGTGGAATAGATAGAACAGAATGCTGGGAGAAAGAAGCTGAGTCAAGGAAGTCATCATGATTCTCCCACTCCAGACAGATGCAGGTTAAGATCTTCCCTGGTAAGACACCTAGTGGACTACACAGATTATTAGAAATGGGTTAGATCAATATGGAAGAGCTAGCCAATAAGAGGCTAGAACTAATGGGCCAGGCAGTATTTAAAATAATTACATGGAAAAATGCAATTTCCGTGTAATTATTTCAAGGCATAAGCTAGCCGGGTGGCGGGACCCAGCCCACCGCTCCTTACAACAGATAGTGAAGGCTTGACTTGTGGGGTTTTAAGGGGAACAGGGATCCTCAAGTAACTAAACTAAGAGCCATTCTTTCAAATATGGACAAAGGATGTGGTTAAATTGTGCCCATGCCCTGAGAAGTTATGTGAGGCTGAATTTTAAATAAGTGAACTCATTGTTTGTCAGAGAAAATGTTAAGATAACATTGCATTCAGGCTGTGACATGCTAAGGATCACTGCTTTTTATATCTATAGTGGGATAGAATGAAGAGAAATTTTAAAAAGTCAGGTTTTTTTCTAGGAAAGAAGTCTGAACACATTCAAAGTCACAGATAATAGGAATGGTATATCAGAGTGAGAGTGCACCAGTTAAAAATTCTGAATTCGAAGGAAACAAATCCATTTGGTAGGGGACATCCTGAACTTGAAATATTACCTGCTCCAAAAAAAAAAAAAAAATCAGCCATCTAGGCAGAAAGAAGCTACTTTTTTTCCGGTGGGGACAAGGCTAGATGCCATCCTGACAGGAGAATATGACATCACCATC